TGTTCGGGGACTCTTAACTGTTTGATTTTCTGAATGAAATCGTTAGTGTCTTTAAGGTAGGATGGGTGTTGGCATGCTAGGGGTAATAAGAAATGGTCTATATATTGTGATACGTTGTATGATTCGCTGCCACAGTCTGATATTATTGGGGGTCCCTTGGGTATTTTATTAGGTATAAACCATTCTGTTTCTGGATTTTTATGTATTTTTGGTAGTGTATAGAGATGTCTTTGTCGGCAGTCAGATAATCATATTGTTTTGCTGTTATGCATTCCTTATCCTGCAATTCATATAAGATGTTGTTTATTAAATTTGCGGTGTCCTTAAAGATGGGTTGGTCTAATTTAGTGTAATGTATAGGATTACTTAATTGTTTTTCTGCCTCTGAGATATAGTCTGCACGATTCATTATGACACAACACGAGCCTTTGTCGCTTTTCTTAATTATTATGTTTTTGTCCTTTTTAAGGGTGTTTAATGCCGTTTTAGTTGCTCGGTTGAGATTTGGTTTTTGTGACTGTGGTTGAATGGATGATATTTCTATATTCATTTCGTCGAAAGTTTTTAGGATGGCTGGTGATAATGACTTTTTAGGTGGTTTCCATGTGGATTTTACTGTGAATAATTTTTTACCTCTGCCGGGTTTGTTCCTAAAAAAATAAGTCAACGAAAGTGTTCTTTGGAAGCGATCGGTTGCCTGGGTGATGGGGTCTATGGATGTTATTGTGGGGGTTGGGATGAATTTAAGGCCTTTATCAAGAATGTTCATTTCTAGGGGGTTGAGAAGTCTGTCGCTCAAATTGACAACTGTCTGTCCTAAAGACGGCTTCTCATTCCTTTTCCCTAATCCTAGTTTAAATTCCTCATCCAGCAGTTGATGATCTCTCTGGCCGTGTCTGGGCTCCAGTGGATTGCGTCGTTACCTTTCAGTTCTATTTTGCCCTTGAAGGTTGGTAATGTGGTGGCGTTTGGTGAAGGTGCAGTGGAGATCAGTTGGTTGTAGCTGGTGATGTTTTGGTAGGCGATCGGATTTTCTTGTCGGAGTCGGGAAGAAGTGGGGATCTGTGTGGCGAAGAGCTTGGTTGTTGGGAAAGCTGCTCTGGTCACCTTGAGTAGATCTAGCATCTGCTCGTGTATCCTTGGTCCACTTTCCACCCTGTTGTTGAGCCCGACGTGTATCACTAATTCCTCTGGTGCAGGACCCATGTAGTTCTGGAGTATCTGTCTGATGTGGCTGATCTTGGCTCCAGAGTAGCTATGGATCTCCCAGTCCCCGACGAAGGATGCAATCCTAGCCAGGTTAGAGGATCCAATAACCAGGGTCTTTGCCATGACGGGTGGTAGGAACCATAAATCCTTCTCGTCTTTACCTTTGTAGCTGTGAGGTCTCTTTAGGGATAGGTTTAGTGATCGCCTACATCTGGTGGAAGATCTGGTGGCGATTCTAGGGTTAGGAATGATGGGCGATCTAGGGGACAGACAGTCGACAAGCGCGTTTAGTGGCGATATAGATCCCGAGGAAGTAGGTGAGCCAGACACAGCCCGGGGCGAACTGGTTGATCTAGCTGCACGCTTCGAGGGAGTGTTAATGCAAGTGCCTTCTCCAGGGGATAATTTTCTCTTGTTGGGTGTGTATCGTTTTGGTGTGTCCCGGAGAAGGTTGTGCGTAATGTGCATGGGTGATGGGGGAGGGGGCGTGACAGTTTTAGAGACCGTGGACAGTAGGCGGTGGAACTCTGTCTTCACACTTCTTGGCCCATGCTAGGGCGTGGCTAGAGTACTCTTGTACAGCATCTTTGGAAAAGTGACGTGACTTCAAGTACTCCAGTTTCTCCGCTAGCATGGCTCGGTAGTGTGTCGACAGGGATGAGGCGACGTCCTTGGCCCATTTCAAGTTCAATGTCTCAATGGTAGTGGCTATGGTAGGCGTCTTCATGGCCGGCTTCACGAACTTATTCAGGTCTTGGATCTTCCAATGAAACTTCTGGTTGGTGTTCCATTCTCCTGACTCTCCATAATGGTCAAGTGGTGGAGGCATTGGAGGACCTGAAAGAAGGCTTTCACGACACCTGCATTTTCTGGGGGTGGTTGGCGCTGGTTTGGTTGTCGTTTTGGTTGGCGCTGGTTTGGTTGTCGACTTGGTTGGTTTGGTTGTCGACTTGGTTGGTGCTGATTTGGTTGTCGACTTGGTTGGTGCTGATTTGGTTGTCGACTTGGTTGGTACTGGTAGCGGAATCCGGGTGGTGGTTGGTGGAATCCTGGTGGTGGTCGGTTGAAGCCTGGTGGTGGTTGGTTGAAGCCTGGTGGTGGTTGGTGGAAGCCTGGTGGTGGTTGGTGGAAGCCTGGTGGTGGTTGGTGGAAGCCTGGTGGTGGTTGGAATCTGCTTCGTAGCTGTGGCCATTCCATTGGTAGTTGAGTTGGTGTGGGAAGGAGTGGGCGTCTGGTGCGGGGCCTATCCATGTTCCAGTAGTGGTGGGGTTGGGGGAAAAAAACTGCTTGTGTGGACGTGCAAATGGGACAAGATAAGAAAGCTGTAAAGACGAGATACAGTAGAGATTGAAGAGAAGAGGGGGGGGGGGAAATAAAATGTATCTATATAGAATGTTGTGCAGTATTTGTTTACTGTGGTATTTGTTCTAAGAAATGGAAAATGCGAGACAAAAAGTAAATTAGCAGAGAGACAATGTTAGATATTCGACGTATGTGAGTAGATTGGTAGAAGAGCTCGTGCTCAAGCGTGTACTGATTTCACAATATGTACTGGTAACGTAACGGAATGAAACTAGAAATATAACACGTATGAAACAAAGGGAAATCGTTTGAACTTTGAGGTTTATTAATTACACAGTATAGTATATTGTGTAATGTCAATTGTTCAATTTAAAACTATTAACAGATATAAAAATAAAAATACATAAAAATATAAAGAGAGAAAAAGAATCTTACATATAATATAGATGGGTCGTTCCTCGATTATATCGCTTGTTCTGGAATTTGTTGCTTCTAGTGGTGATAATATTTATACCGTGCGGTAAGGACGGTCAGCCCTCGATAAACTACTAGAAGGTTTTATTACTCAACAAATAACTTCTCGAAGTATGTAATAAAATCTAATCGGGTGCCGATTTTGACGAAACTTGAAATATAGGTTGATAACTCAAAGATCTCGATATTCGCGCATATCGGACCGTAACTTTATGTATAACAAATCACGTTTTTAGCTTGTGGACAATTTTTATCCGATTTTGATGAAACTTTAAATATAAGTTTATATGTAAACATAGCAAATCAACACGAATAGCAGCGAATGCTGATCACGTAACGGCCCAGGGACCTCTTGGTCGTACTTAAACGGGAGTGTCCGCGATAAAGAAATGTTCCGATTTGAACTGATCACTGTTGATGAATTTAATAGGTTAACCAAATACACCATACCGTTTGATTTCAGTGCCGTGGTATGCAGACAATTTCATATTATCCAACACCCGAACTTTACCATTCTTCAGGAAACCCTTTGCGTTGACGTTTTGTGGAAACATTTTCCAATAAATCGGATAAAATAAACTGTTCTGCCCCGACTGGGATAATGAAGACGGGTTTTCCATTAAGTTTCCAATGGATTTTCCAACAAGTTTCCAATGGATTTTCCAACAAGTTTCCAATGGATTTTCCAACAAGTTTCCAATGATATTATATTGGTGTCGGAGCCTGTGTCTACTTGGTTGTCAATGTTGCCTCTTATTTATCTTCAGTTCGGCTTGAACACTTTCATTCACCAAATTAACATTCCCTTGTGCTGTCGTGTTGCTAAATGTAAATCTGTTGAACTCTCCATCAAGTCTGAAAATGTGATCGCCATGAAATTTCATCTAGTCGATTTTCCTATCAAATCTAGTACTTGGTTTATTTCTGTCGAGCTGCCGCCTCCTTGTTTACAGACCTACATCTTCTCGGTTGGGGGGAAACGTTGTGTCTGTCTCTTATGGTGGCTGTTAGCGGCCATTCAAATGAATCTAAATCGTCGCCTTGTGAAGAAGGCGACAAGTCGACAAGTCGACGAAATCGTCGACTTGTCGTGCGGCGACTTCTCAAACTCGAGCATGCGCATTTGCTGATTGGATAACTTGCATGCGCACAGATTAACTTCCGAGGCGACAAGTCGCCGCACGACAAGTCGAAATAATTGTATTTCGTCGACTTGTCGCCTTGTCGGTTGTGAATAAGTCGAAGGCGACAAGTCGCCGCACGACGAAATCAACCCGCCGACACGACGAAATAACCCGACGATCGTCGCCTTCATTTTGTCGTGTCGGCGGGTTGATTTCGTCGACTTGTCGCTTTCGATTTATTCACAAACCGACAAGGCGACAAGTCGCCGCACGACGAAATCAACCCGCCGACACGACAAAATGAAGGCGACGACAAAATGAAGGCGGGTTGATTTCGTCGACTTGTCGACTTAAGAAGGCGACGATTTAGATTCATTTGAATGGCCGCTAACAGCCACCATAGTCTCTCGTTGCTACTATTCGAACACATGCAAGCATAATGACTCATTACACTGCATTTCCTAAATTTGATGTTGGACATCGGGTACAAGACCCTATTGAGGTAACAACATTTATGACATCTCTGAATTCGATATAAGAGTAGGCCGTAGTGCCGCTGTCCGGGCAAACTTTCTTATGGCGTATGCCCGTCTTCATTAGCCCAGTTCGGAGCAAAACAGTAGGACGTTAAACCCCATTTCATTTCATTTCATTTTAGTCATGTTAGTCGAAGGTTGCCGTATGTTATACTGTTGCCACTCGGTTAAACAAGAACTATATCAGGCATATCATAAAGTGATTTGATGATGACAATACAACAAATGCTGAGAGGCAGCAGGAAGTCACATGTGACATAAAATACGCCTAATCACTATTATAGACCGTATTGTGTATAATCGACATATCACATTACAGTGTTTACCCTTCATACCGAACAGATGTGCGTGTGACTTGTGGGGTTTACGCTTACAGGTGTTTACGCTTCATATGGAACAGATGCGCGTGTGACTTGTGGGGTTTACGCTTACAGGTGTTTATGTTTCATATCGAACAGATTCACGTGTGATATAGTGTTACAGGTGGTAAAATAGAATGTATTTTACAATTTTTTGTGTATATTAAGTTTTGATGTTTTTAGTACAGCACATGTTAGTAAGCACCTTTAAACCCCCACTTTAAGATTTTACATTTCTTCTGTCAGTTTCTTTAAGCTGTTGTTACTTTAATAATAGTGAGTACATTTAACTGAGTTTCATTGTGTCTTGGTCATGTGATGTATTTGTTGGTAGATACATTCAGTTGTTAACCATCTTTGTTTCAAAGAGGAGCTCTAACAAAGTAGTGTCTAAGTTTAGTTTTTGGAGATTAATTTCTGTAAAGTTTTTGTAAAGAATTGCAGTTATTTACCAGGTATGTTGCATTATGTTTTACTGATTATATAAGCTGTATCTTTAACTCTGTAGTTTGATATTTTTATACTGAAGTTGTTAGTTTTTATGGATCAAGTTGGTAAAGTTTATTTGCATACATGATACATACATTTACACATTATATATATATATATATATATCATCCTATTTCAGGTTGTTAGATTGATTACATTTAGCTAATCTAAGTATTTAAAACCACACATCGGGTAAGTTAGTTTAGAATGTAAATATAGAGTAGTTTAGATAAAGTACCGGTACCATTTACTATTTGTTGCAAACAGTAATTTACTTTGTAGCACAGATTTATTTGTGTGCTGTAGTAATGGTGTTAGATAATGTGTTTATGATGTTTGTATTTTGATATTCTCTTTTATTTTGGAAAACTTATATTGAATTGTATATTTGCAGGGTTTTTATTACTTGCCTGGTTTATGCTATAATAAAGATTTGAACCCGTTCTGGATTGTTTGTTTCAACGACCCCCAGACCCCTCTACAACAATAGTGTTTATAAACTTGTAGTGTTTACGCATCAAATCGAACAGATTCACGTGTAATATACCATACTGTTTAATTATCCGTATACATTTGTAAATTAAATACCGGACCGGTGTAACTATGGTAATCAAGATATGGTACTTTCTACTCGTGTATATTTCGGTGTGGAATGATGTTGGTAAGTTTGTCTTGCTTTGTAACAGACTTCCATTAAAGACGTAAAATAGTCAAAAATCGGTGATGTAGAACAGTAATTAGTATTATTATTATAATAGTAGTTGTGGTTTATAGTAGTAATAGTTCTATCAGTAGCAGCAAAGAAAAACTGTTGGGTAACTATTTTAGTGGTCCACTCGTCACTATTTGTGATAGAATTACTTATTTCGATATAAACTGTGATCATGATCCTCGGTATCCACAGTGGTCTCATTCCACTAATCCCTGGGTTCATCTATGGGAGCGGGGATCACGTGGCTAAGTGGGTAAGACGCTGACTCGCTAGCCTGGAGGTCGGGTGTTCGATCCCTGCATTGGCCGAGAAAGTTCATCCAGATTTTCCGGCGTGGTTCCCCCTTGACAGTGGTGCAGGACGGAGGGCCTGACAAGGACAGCTGTCTAGTCCTTCGGATGAGACGAAAAACCGAGGTCCCGTGTATACATTGGAATGCACGTAAAAGTTCCCTTGGCAGTTGGAATTCGATATAAGAGAAGGCGATATAGTGCCGCTGCCCGGGCAAAATTTCCCTTATAGCACACTGTATGGCGTATGCCCGTCTACTTCATTAGCCCAGCATAGGAGAAGAACAGTAGGACGTTAAACCCCATTTCATCCATGGGAGAGATATAAATTATCCGCCCTTGATGATTGTTCTACTTTTATCAACCAATACATTTGATAGCATGACGACTTGCCAATGCCTGTTTTGACTGACATAAAAACATCTTTCCCATCAAAAGATGTTTTTGGACACCTGTTTGTGTGCATCCAACTTCTTGTTTATTAAATTCCTTGTAAACTTTCTCCTAATCGAGCGAACAAGTCACCGTATTGTTGTGAACGTAAACAATGAAGCTTAGACTGGTTTGTAAACTGTTGTTAGATTCCATTAACTTTTAAAATGATTCAAACAAGACACTGCTTCAGTAGCATGTGGCTGTTTAATTTAAATCTTTAGACGCTTGAACTCACAAACATGACAGGTTGTAATCAGGCTTGAAAATTCCAGAATAATTTTCTTCTTGATCGCATATTACGGATTATGCATAGTCTATATTTAGTATGTATTTATATTTTTCAGAAGGCGGATACCAATCCTGTAAAAGACAAATTGGTTTGTAATTTATAATATTTAGTTAGGCACGGAAAAAAATGCCCGTTTCCATTAGCCCAGTTGGAGCAGAACAATAGCAGGCCCGTAGCTAGCGCAGGCCCGTAGCCAGAGGGGGGCCAGGGGGGGGGGGGGCAATGCCCCCCCCCCCAAAAAAATGTTTTGCCCCACCGAAAAAAAATTTGCCGACCATAGCTCTAAAATACTTACTGTAGACTGTGCCGGGTGTGCCCCCCCCCCCCCTAAAAACGTCACTGTCCCTCCGAAGCTAGCAAGCTGGCTACGGGTCTGAGCTAGCGGTGGGAGGGGGCGCGAGGGGCGGCTGCCTCCCTGGAACAAATAGGGCACCCAATGGGTGCCTTTATCCAATGGGGAAAGAATCGGTTACTGACAAGGTCGATCGCTTGAATTATTAATTTCCGTCCTGGTCCGGACTTTTTTTCCGTATGCAAATGAGCTTCGTCGTAAATCCCATATAAGGTATATGTTCTAATAGATTAAGTTGTGTTATGCATTTGTCTATTTTGCAAAATTCAGAATGGAGAACTGTAATGTGCAAAATAACTATTATACTGTATTTTGTATTATTGAAAAGTGTATTATATATTTTAACACTGTGACAATAGTATTGTGAAGCACTGGACATTGCAAATCGTAAAACTAAAATACATATTTTGAACTGCTGACATTATGCAGTTTGTAAAGTGAACATTGAAATAATATTGACATCGTTATCCTTCCATAGTTATTAACCAATCCAATACTTCATAAGTCGCTCATCCCTGAAATCGGCAAATTAGGCTAGGCGTACAAAATCAATGGGGGTGGTCTAGAGTGCCGCGCTTCGACCTCTAGCTGACCGCTCACTTCTGGCTGCGGGGCTGTGGGTTCGATTCCTGGTGTGAGCGTATGTGACTTGGAGATAGGGGGCGCCTTCTCAACATCGTGGGTTTACTTCGGGTACTCCGGTTTCCTCCCGCAGGAAAAATAATAAAAATAAAAAATAAGATTTGTCTGCGATATCACCTCCGGTGGAAGCGGACGTTAAACACTAAGAGCAACAACATCTTATTATTGTCCCATTTGGTATTCCATAGGTACGTCGATAGGTGTAATATAGCTAGTTCAAATACAACTAATTGATCAATGCCAATTAAATCTCCATGGATATGATAATTGTTTGAATTATAAATATGAAAATATTTAAAATTTATGTTTTAGTTCCAAATGTAAACGTTTGTAGCAGTAAATCCCTGAGCGGAAGTACAGTGTATTTATCTAGTACTATCGTTGAAAATAATGGACTTGATGGAAACGCTCCAGGTTGTAGATGTACTCTACATTCAACAGGCCAACAACAACAGACTATAACTATGGCGATATCACCAGTAAATGAGCACCCTTATGGATGTCAATTTCAACTTGATCTTGAACATAAAAACAAAACTGGGGAATTTTCCTGTGGTATATATGGTCACGATACCTATAATATAGTCCCAGGAGATGTTATAAACATGGAGTTGCAACCAGGTGTAAAACGAAAGGGACAAGGTGGATTTGCTTTTTGTTTAAAGATCAGCACTACGCATGGTAAATCATAAGTTATTATATTAAGTTGACTTATTCGACTGTCTGCGGTTAAGTTCTATTGATATAAAGATAATTTCCCTATTAGACTATGGGGAAAATATCTAAACGGACAACAGGATATGGGTTGGGTCTGATGGGCTAAAGAGACAACAGGATGTGGGTTGGGTCTGATGGGCTAAACAGACAACAGGATATAGGTTGGGTCTGATGGGCTAAACAGACAACAGGATGTGGGTTGGGTCTGATGGGCTAATGAAGTATGAATAAGAAGAATCGTTTAAATACTAAGAATATGATACCACTTCTAATTGTAAGGATATACCACTTTTAACCACTTCTAATTGTAAGGATATACCACTTTTAACCACTTCTAATTGTAAGAATATGACACCACTTATAATTGTAAGGATATACCACTTATAACCACTTCTAATTGTAAGAATATGACACCACTTATAATTGTAAGGATATGACACCACTTATAATTGTAAGGATATGATACCACTTCTAATTGTAAGAATATGATACCACTTCTAATTGTAAGGTTATGACACCACTTCTAATTGTAAGGTTATGATACCACTTCTAATTGTAAGGATATGATACCACTTCTAAATGTAAGAATATGATAGCACTTCTAATTGTAAGGTTATGATAGCACTTCTAATTGTAAGGATATGATACCATTCCTAATTGTAAGGATATGATACCACTTCTAATTGTAAGAATATGATGCCGCTTCTAATTGTAAGGATATGATACTACTTCTAATTGTAAGGATATGATACCACTTCTAATTGTAAGAATATGACACCACTTCTAATTGTAAGGATATGACACCACTTCTAATTGTAAGGATATGACACCACTTCTAATTGTAAGGATATGACACCACTTTTAATTGTAAGGATATGATAGCATTTCTAATTGTAAGAATATGATACCACTTCTAAATGTAAGGATATGATACCACTTCTAATTGTAAGGACATGATACCACTTCTAAATGTAAGAATATGACACCACTTCTAATTGTAAGGTTATGATACCACTTCTTAATGTAAGAATATGATACCACTTCTAAATGTAAGGATATGATACCATTTCTAATTGTAAGGATATGATACCACTTCTAATTGTAAGGATATGATATCACGTCTAATTGTAAGGATATGATACCACATCTAATTGTAAGGATATGATACCATTTCTAATTGTAAGTATATGATACTACTTCTAATTGTAAGGATATGATATCACGTCTAATTGTAAGGATATGATACCGCATCTAAATGTAAGGTTAGTACTAACCGCTACACTACAACGCAACCCGCTTTGAATCGACCACCTAAACAAAAATGTCCAGATAATACAAATAATCAGAGATCTTTTTGTTTGTGTCTTAAGATTCTGGAGTTACACTAGCATGCAACGACGCTATAACAACTGATAGGCCTGCCAGTACATCTTCCACCAGTGAGCTTCCTACCACTACACCAACATCTTCCACCAGTGAAGTTCCTAGCACTGCAATTACATCAACATCTTCCACCAGTGAGATTCCTACCACTACACCAACAAGAAATACATCAACATCTTCCACCAGTGAGCTTCCTTCCACTATAAACCCATCAACATCTTCCACCAATGAGCTTCCTACCACTAGAAAGCGTAAGTATGGTTTGAGCAGTATTGCAATTTATTAGACAAGAGCTTTATTTAAACAACCTTGATATGAGACAGTCAAATTTATTTACACCATCTTGATATCAATCTGGTTAAAACACAGATCCAATTTCGTTTCGTTTTTTATAGTTCAAAATTTCGATTTTACTTGTCTTTACTACATTTGGATCTGGAAGCGTTGTTATTTAACTCGTGTTCTGCTTGAAATGAGGGGTCAGCCAATCAAACATTCTGAACATCTGGCCTCGAGTTCACAAAGTATTCTCAGACTTAAGTTAAGAATTTACTCAACTTTCAATCACTGTTTATGTGAAATATCTTTGATCCAGAAACACAAAACTTTGCACATAGTTTCTTATTGATGTATTTGATACATTAAAACAACAAAAGTTTTATAAAGGGCTATATTTTAGTTAATATAAGGCGAACAATTTTGAGCAAATTCTTAATTTAAGTCTGAAAATGATTTGTGAACTCGGGGCCAGAGACACGCTACCTGCGGAGAAGTATCTCAGACACAGTCAGTAGCCATGATATCCATATCACGTGATCTACACATCACAGATCATGACATTGGCGTCAATGGGTTAAGAGGTCAACATTGTAAACAATAGGTTTATCTTCAGCATTGTGTCCGTTGCACCCATAAAGACTATATAATTCGTACAGTCCCAATGATTTTTCACAAAAATAACATCTACAACTCATAGAATTGACGTTGTCTTCAATGACAGCGTCTGCGAGGGTTGTTCATAGAGGCCGCCATATCGCACTATTTTGTTAATGTGTTTCAGTTCTAAAACAAATATTTTAAACTTTAACGCAAATTTAGAAAATAGCCAAATTCTGGCTGGGATTACTGAGCAAAATGGCCATTCACTGTATAGGTGCAAAAAAAAGCTAGCCACCAATTAATTTTCGTACATTAGTTACGTACGCCAATCAAATGGTCTGTCGAATCGAGCGTTTGACCTTTTTTTGCGCGGAACTGTGGGTAGACATTAGCGGCAATAGAAATCAAAACAAAGCAAAAGTAGATAAAAAATACATGGCGGTTGCTAACTGGTTAATCGAATGACTGACGTAATCAGGTCAAATGTCGCTTTCTTGGTACCTGACATCATAGAACGTGAACTCCCACTATAACTTGTTAGATCTACATGTAGTGTAGGCCATTGAAAGTATAAAAAACGAAACGAAATATAGATCTATATTTTAATTAGTTTGTCTTGATATGAGACAAAGTATTTACAATCAACAAACTGACACTGTCCTTGCCAGGCCCTCCATCTTGCGCTCACTGGAAAACCAAGTGGGACTCCTGTTTAGCCAGTCTATTGTTACATGACTATTTATATATTACAGTATATGGTATAGTAGGTGGAAGTGTTACTGGGGTGGTTATTATAGTAATAATTATTACACTAGTCTGGTAAGATATATTCTCATATTATAGTTTCAATTTGATGGTTTAAATCAATACAGGTCAGTTGTCAGTTGCTTCCACATACAAGCAACGATCTTAAACAGTTAAAGTCAGTTGTTTCGACATTCACGCAACGGTCGTAAACAGTTGTCAGTTGCTTCGACACACACGAACCAATCGTAGACAGTTGTCAGTTGCTTCGACATACACGAACCAATCGTAAACAGTTGTCAGTTGCTTCGACATAAACGAACCAATCGTAAACAGTTGTATAGATAGGTTGTAAGTGTCGACGTCGTTAATTCATTGTTCTTTTATTTGGGTCAATATAATGGGGGACAGGGGAGGGCGGATGAATGACCGAGTAAGATCTGTTATTGAGTCAACTGGCGTGGTTTCGATTCCCCGGTTGTACGTGACAAGGAGTAGGGTCATCTGTTCAACCTCGTGGGTTTTCTCCGGGTCCTTCGGCTTCCTCCCACTGCTAAAGACCCCTAGATGTAAACGAATTATTGAAATAAAATTGAACCATATGTTGGTCCCGACATGTTACTCTCCCTCTCTCTCTCTCTCTCTCTCTCCCTCTCCCCTCTCTCTCTCTCCCTCTCTCTCTCCCCCTCTCCCTCTCTCTATCCCTCTCTCTCTCTCCCTCTCTCTCTCCCTCTCTCTCTCTCGCTGAAAGATTAACGTTGATCACAAAGTGTATTAATCGTGTGTCTATTTGTAGCTTTATCAGGAAAAGAAAGATAAAGAATCGTGAGAAAGAAACCGTGAATATTACCAACACTAGCCATTCACAACCTGGTCATACGGATGATGTACAACAGTATGAAACGCTTAATAACCCGCAGGCTGACAACGAATCGGAATACGTAGAACTCAATAATATTACCAATACTAACAATTTACAAACAACGAGTCATACGGATGCTGTACAGCAATATGAAACTGTTAATTATCCACAGGCTGACAAGGAATCGGTATACACAGAACTAAACAATATATATTACAATATATCTTAATATATTACGAAAAGGGAGGGAAATAATCTGAATTCATATTTGTTCGTTAACCCGGACAGGAAGGAATTCTACTTGAACTTAAAGTAGCTAAGTCTCTAAGTCAATATCATCCAAAATCTTCTACATTGAAAACACGATTTATTTGTCGGTTTAAATCAACATTGATGTTGTGATCTTAACGGGAAAAGATGGCCTTCTGATATCCAATATTTATAGACAAAATAAACATTCTACAATTGGTACACGAATCGTGTTCCATAATGCGTTTCAGTGCTGTTTGTAATAAGGGACTCGAAAAACGAAGCTAGGCATATTCCACAATAAATACTATCGGCGTAGACTGGAATAACCAGACGCTAGAGATTGAAATTCGATTGAGAATACTGGCGTATTTCGCCGAACCTAACTGATTAGAAATTACAGCAAAAACAGAAACGATTCAATATAAATCAATTTATATACATTCATATTACATTATTGTATGCGTTGCGACCCATTTGTGTCAATTTCTAGGTCCCAAATATTAGCGACTTGGCTCCTTTAATTTACCAATCCCTAGACAGTGGAGGACGTAGATACTTTCTACATTAAAATTTCCTTTACTGAAGTGCCCACAGGCACGTGAAGGGATTAAACTTGAACTTAAACTACCAAGCCCCTGGACGTGGGATATTGAAACTTTCTATATTAAAATGTCCTTTACTAAAGTGCCCTATATTAAAGTGTTCCACGTTAACGTTACTGACATTAAAGTTTGTTATATTAAAGTTTGTTATATTAAAGTTTGCTACATTAAAGTTTTCTATATCAAAGTGGCCTATATTAAAGCTTGCTGTATTAAAGTTGTTTCTGTATTAAAATTGGATATATTAAAGTTGCTTATATTAAAGTTTGCTATATTAAAGTTGCTTATATTAAAGTTTGCTATATTAAAATTTTCTATATTAGAGTTATTGAATTTTGCTATATTAAAGTTTGCCACATTAACGTTTGCCATATTTAAGTTTCCTATATCAAAGTGGCCTATATTAATGTTGACTATATTAAAGATTTATGTATTAAAGTTCGCCATATTGCGTTTTGTTATATTAACGTTTGCTACATTTGCTATATTAAAGTTATATATTACCTTAATTAAAGTTGATTATATCAAGATTTTCTAAAACACCGTTTGCCCCATTAACGATTAGACTTTATTTTGCTACCTAACTTAAAGGGACAATAACACTCTTGCTGGCTTGAAAGCTCCAGAAAATAAATAATATCTCTATCTAAGTACTAGATGTGTTAGTGTCCCACCTGTTGTGTAAATTATCCATTAAATCCTATTTTACTTGTCCAGAGGGTTCGAAAATATTTTTAAATCGCAGTTTCATTTGAAAAGGTTTACGTTAGACGTTTCAAACCATTATGTTGAATTTTTCAAAAATTTTAAATAAGGTGTGTTAAGATGAAATTTGTATCATCAATTAATTGGAATATTGTAAAATAGTGGAATTTGTTGACTAGAATAAAGATTGGGACATATTATTCAGTTACAACAAGAGTGGTATTGAGCCTTTAACAGTTTATTCCCGATTAAGCTATGAATTTTGAGACAGCTTCATGATTCTCATATGACGTATTCCGAGGGTAAAAGCGTACATTTTGCAAGGTATATTGAAGTTTGACATCTTCCATTAAAATTCTTACTGGAATTCGTTTTTCTTCCAACTTATTGCACACAGTGATGACATGATTAACGGTTATCATCTTCCATTACAGGAAGATGTTTTTCTTCCAACTTATTGCACGCAGTGATGAAATGATTAACGGTTATCATCTTCTATTAAAATTCTTAAATCTTTAGTTCTCAATCTTTTAATCAACCCACAAATCTTGCCTAACGGGTGAATGCATGACCTCCGTCTTTACAACCAAATTTTTATTTAATTTAATTTTAAATCAAAGAGTATTTGATCTGGTTAACGCGGCTTTCCATTCCGATTTGATTTTAGTTTTAACAAAACTATACTGGTTTTTTTTATTGGTTCGTACAGCCAAGCTACGATCAAGGGAAGATAATTCAAATACGTGAATACCCCATGGTATAGTGGAATAGAACGGAATGAGATACTGGGGATACCGAGGATGTGTGATGTGTTGAGAATTGTACGTTTGGAACTATTTTACTTGCGCAAAGCCTTGAAAAGTGTTTCGATTGTAGCGCCGGACAAGACAAGACACCAGTACAATATTGCAGTTAGGGTTAAGCGTCTTACCGTCCTACCGACTGGGCTAATAAAGACGGGCATACACCATGCAGTATGCTATGGGGAATTTATAGCCGTGCAGCGGCACTATGGACTACTCGAATTCCAACGGCAAGGGGATATTTTACGTGTACGCCCATTTGTACACGGGATCGTGATTTGTCGACCCATACAAACGACTATACGCTGTCCCTTGCCAGGTTCTCAGAGAGATTTTAAAAGGACCAGACATGACTGTTTTTCAATATCTATACAGTAACATCAATGACTGGCTTTAGATGCTTAGAACCTGGTAAATAAATACGATGTATTGAAATGTGATGAATCCGTTCCTGTTCCTTGATGAAATAACATTTAACTAGTTATAACATTCAATCCAGGGGTAACCTTGTGAATCATATTAGTAGTTTAATCTTGTGAATCATATTAGTAGTTTAATCTTGGCGAACTTTGTGAATCATACGCCTAGGTAGTAGTCTTGGTGAATTTTAATACAATTATATAGTGAGTCTAGGCGAATCCTGGAAATTATGTTGATCTGTGACATGTTACGTTTTTGTGAATTTTCGAGGATTTGTGTTCGGGGTTAAATTGTATTAAAAACAATACGCTAACCAGGAGAATTGATAAAATTAAAGGGACAGTGTATTAGATGTCGAAGTGAACTGTAACTTTAAAGTATTAAAAAAATATGTTAAAAAGGGTAAACTCTATGCCGGAATCTTCAATAGATTGATTGCAGAATATGGCTTCAAGGTGTTGTAAAACTCGCTGTAGGCCTAGGGAACATTCCCTCCCGATCATAAGCCAATTGTTAACAGACGGACAGGGTGACGAAATTATACGCCCACACCTAAGTATGTGTATATCAAGCGGACGACCGAGCAGAATGGCAGTGGTGCAGGTCAGAAGATCACCTGGACAACGTATATTCGTTCGTATGGGACGAAAACCCCAGATCCCGTATACACATTGGCGTGCACGTGAAAGAACCCTTGGCATTTGGAATTCGATATAAGAGTACACCGTGGCGTCGTTGTCCGGGCAGCATTTCCCTCATAGTCCACTGTATGCCCGTATGTCCGTTCTCATTAGCCCAGTCGGAGCAGAACAGTTGGACGTGAAATCCCATTTTATTTCATTTGATCCACCCCTTGAAATCGTGCAATGGTAGTAGAATACATTATTCAACCTTGGACTAATAAAACAGGATGACAATTAACATGAATTATGTTAAATGTTAAACAGATTATACCCTCTTATTATGTTCTTATAATAATTACTAATTATAAATGGTGACTGTTCTTGTGTCGTCAAATACACTCTCAGTCTTAAAGGACACCATATGAACTTAATTGGGAGACACATTCTGATAGTGGAAGGTCAGGGGTCGTACGGGCAGCTTTTGATCCTATAACGTCATACATTGATAAATCAATCAGAGTTGACGTTTCTAGTCGTTTAACTACAGTTCCCTGCATGGCACGTCAAGAAGTCGCCCTAACAGATGGTGTCATTGGCTTATTCTTCACGCCATCCAGAACGCAAATTATATAACAACTCTTCCACATCCTAGTGTAGTACAGACAAATAAAACGAAATTTTGAACTATAAAAAATTGTGGGAGACAGGTTGGTACGGGTTTAACGTCCTACTGTTCTGCACTCATTGAGCTAATAAAGATGGACAGTGGCATTACAGTATACTTTTATTTCGAATTTCAACTGTCCAACTCGGTTTTCCGTCCCATCCGAACGATTATATATTTTCCATGCCAGGCCGACACCGGGATCGAACTCGGGGTTAGCGAGCCAACGTCTTACTCAGTGAGCCAGCGTAGCTCCTAGGGTGATTCGGTGAATATGATACTTGCTTAATGACCTCGTCTGTGGTCCAGTGCGGAGGGCGCATAGTCTTTCGGTTGGCGTAAAAACAACGAGGTCTTGTGTACAACTGACAACTGCTAATCAAAGAAGCCTAGGCGGTAAGACAAAGGTTACTCATTGCCATTACTAGGTTACTCATTGCCATTACTAGGTTACTCATTGCCATTACTAAGAATCAGGTCATCTTTATTTATATTCGCTTCCCATGAAATGAAATGGTGTTTAATGTTCTACTGTTCTGCTCCGATTGGACTAATGTTTGTTGGTTGGTTGTTTGGTTAGTTGTTGGGTTATGGGGTTAGGGTTAGGGTTATAACCTCTTTAACTACTATATGACGTAACCACACGGTTCGTGCACTCTTAATACAGATAATGATGTGACAACCCCTTAAATTACTATAATAATGACGTAACAACACGGTCCACGTACCAGTAACACCGGCACTGATGTGATAACCCCTTTAATTAATATAATAATGACGTAACAACACGGCCCACGTACCAGTAACACCGGCACTGATGTGATAACACCTTTAATTAATATAATAATGACGTAACAACACGGTCCACGCACCCCTAACACCGGCACTAATGTGACAACCCCTTTAATAATGACACGGTCCACGCATCCCTAACAACGGCACTGTTGTGACAACCCCTTTAATTACTATAATAATGACACGATCCACACACCCGTAACAACTGCACTGATGTGATAACCCCTTTAATTAATATAATAATTGCGTATTTAAATGTCTAGCTCTTGTAATGAGGTTGACATTTAAAAATGAACCACGTCATCAGATGTTAATATAGTTGTTATATTCCCACCATATTTTTACTGCAGACTTGCTTATCAACAGGAGAACAGCTAACACTGGTAAGTTATACACTCAGTTTAATTTTATGGATAAAGACATTCTACTGGAGAAAATGAAATGAAATGGGGTTTAACATCCTACTGATCAGCTCCGACTGGGCTAATGAAGACGGACATATGCCATACAGTTTGCAATGACGGAAATTTTGCCCGGGCAGCGGCACTATGGCCTACTCTTATATCGAATTCCAAATACCAAGGGATATTTTACGTGAACGCCAATGTATACACGGGTCCTCGGTGTTTCGTCACATCCGAACGACTAGACAGCTGTCCTTGTCAGGCCCTCGTCCTGCATCACGTCGGAAAACCCCGATGATTTTTCTCGGTTAATGCCGGGATCGAACACGTGACCTACAGGCTAACGAGCCAGCGTCTTACCCACTTAGCCACCGTGGCTCCGGAGAAAATCAGCTGTAGACAATCGTAAGTAGAAAGTTTGAAGTAGAAAGTTGTAAGGTGATAAGAAAAAGAAATTCTGTCAATGAAAGAATCCTGGCAATTAGAAGTTGAGGCTTGATGTTTTTTCCATATTAGAGTTCTAGATTTCCAGCCTGGAGATCGGGTGTTCGATCCCTGCATTGGCCGAGAAAGTTCATCCAGATTTTCCGGCGTGGTTTCCCCTTGTCAGTGATGCAGGACGGAGGGGCTGACAAGGAAAGCTGTCTAGTCGTTCGGATGGGACGAAAAACCGAGGTCCCGTGTACACATTGGCGTGCACGTAAAAGATCCCTTGGCAGTTGGAATTCGATATAAGAGTAGGCCGTAGTGCCGCTGTCCGGGCAAAATTTTCCTCATAGCACACTGTATGGCGTATGCCCGTCTTCATTAGCCCAGGTTAGGAGCAGAACAGTAGGACTTTAAACCCCATTTCATTTCTAGATTTCCGCCATGACTAAATCCCGTTTAGATTTCATATTAGTGTTCTAGATTTCCGCAATGACAAAGTTCGGTTTAGACTCCATATTGAAGTTCAAGATTTGTACCATGAAAACACCCCGTTTCGACTCCATATTCAAGTTCAAGATTTGTACCATGAAAACACCCCGTTTCGACTCCATATTCAAGTTCAAGATTTGTACCATGAAAACACCCCGTTTCGACTCCAATTCACGTTATTGGTTTCCACCATGAAAACATCAAGTTTACTGGCTGATACCTCTTCATGAGAGAGAGAGAAAAATGAGGTTTAACGTCCACTCGACACAAACTAGGTCATTTCGGGACTAACATATGGTTCATTTTTATTTCAATAATTCACTTGCATATAGAGTCATCGTCAGGGTATTCGGACACCTTCTGTTTCAATCCAGTTCAACATGATTTTGGGTATGGGAAAAAAAGGGAAACGAATAGTTTATGTGATGAAAAAATTTTATTTTTGATATTTTGGCGTCTGCTTGTCACAGTTTTTGGGTTGTTTTTTTTTTCCATTTGTTTGTTTGCTCGTTTAAAATTTCCTGTCAAAAATCATGCACATCTGTTTACTATTACATCAGTAAAACTAAGACGCAGTAAATGTATTTGATATGTCATATGTTGTATTATATCTCAGTTTCTGGCTTTTAGCAAAGTTACCGCAAGTTACTCCCCTTCGCTGAGTTATTTCTCGAGGGCCCGGAGTTATTTGTCGCCGGGCCCTGAGCTGTTTGTCCAGGGCCCTGCGCTGTTTGTCGCCGGGCCCTGACCTGTTTGTCGTGGGCCCTGAGCTGTTTGTCACTGGGTCCTGAGTTGTTTGTCGCGGGCCCAGCTGAGTGCCTGACGATTCCACTTACTGACTGACTGGTCGGAACAGACAATCGGGTTTTCGTTTCAATGGTTTGTTATTTTGTCAAATCGAAATTTTGGTAAACTTTATGTTCCTGTTATTTTCGATCAATCATCATAGAATATAATCGAATTCCGTGCCAATCGTATGTAATTCTGTTTCAAGTCCGCTGCATAATAATATCTGTCATTGAGTCAACTGGCGTGGTTTCGATTCCCCGGTTGTACATGACAAGGAGTAGGTTCGCCTGTCAAACCGCGTGCGTTTTCTCCGGGTCCTCCGGTTTCCTCCCACTGCTAAAGACCCCTACGCGCAATAATATTGAACCATGTTAGTCCCGAAATGACCTAGGCGCACTATTACGACACAATAGGTCGTTCATAGACATCTTAAAATGCAAAATACGATTTTGTTTTAATGTAGACTGGGGCCACAGTGGGTAAGACGTTGGGTTGCTTACATGGAGCCAGGAGAGCCGGGGTTTGATCAGTGTGTTAGCCGAGAAAGTTTCTCTGGATTTTTCCGGTGTAGTTTCCCCTTGTGCAGGATATGGGGGATCTGGCAAGGACAGCTGTCTAGTCGTTCGGATGGGAAGAAAAACCGAGATCCTGTGTATACATTGATGTGCACGTATAAGAACCCTTGAATTCGATCTAAGGGTAGGCGCGTAGCGGTATTGTCTGTGCAAAATTCCCTCATCATACTTATAGCACACTGTATGGCGTATGTCCGTATTCAGTAGCCCAGTCGGTGCAGAAAAGTAGGACGTTAAACCCCATTTCATTTAAATTTCATTATTTGAGTTCTTATTTTCCATATTTCTTTTTGTCTGCAGAATCATCAAAACATTTATTTCACAAAAACATGTTTACATCTTCAGGTGATGCCGGATCTTGTTTAACGGGTCACAATGATACCCTCGTTTCTATTGGCTGATACAATTTCTTGTTTAACGGGTCACAAATGATACCCTCGTTTCTATTGGCTGATACAATTTCTCGGTTATCGCAACACTCAAAACAACTAATTCTTGTCTACTATAAATATGGAATCTCAGGGTTGTGCTTTTAAAGGTTTTATTTGGTAGCTATCCGTGTAGGTCAACTAGTTCGTTGTCGACAAATAATTCCACTGGTTTATTTATTTTCACGTTACAGACTGGGTATTCACGACTTCAAGATGTTGAAATCTTTGATCTTGGTTATCATGGCGTTATTTCTTACTATGGCCTCAGCACAGGATTTTGACAGATACCAACCACCGGACCGAGTAATGTAAGTAAATATTTGATTTATTTCAGGATTATATTGTTTAAACTATACTATTTAGCGACAATTGACAATATTGCCCAAAGTTATGCAAAAAGTGATCGACAAGGTGAGGGAGAGAGAGAGAGAGAGAGAGAGAGAGAGAGTTTCTCTTTAAAGTCCGCTCGACACAAACTAGGTCATTTCGGGACCAACCAACATATGGTTCTTTTTTTTTAACATTGGCATGGCAGGAAACCGAAGGACCTGGAGAAAACCCACGTGGTTGGACAGGCGGATGCGATAGGGAAAGATACGTTATAGGCCTATATATGCTTATTCAATATATTATCTCCGAAAGTTAAATAATTTCATAAAAAAAAAATGACAAAATTATGAATAATTGAAATTTTGACAAAAACGGTCTTACTATATATTCAAAATTTCGTTTTACTTGTCTTATAAAAAAACGAAACGAAATATAGATCTGTATTTTAATCAGGTTCTACATAGAGTTACGTAACAGGTAAGATATATTATAGATATGCATATTCTATACATCTTATCCACATTTTAAATTATTTTATAAAACAAATTGTAAAACATTATGGATAATTTAAATTTGGACAAAAACGGCCCTATAATTACCGACAATTTTAATATCGGACAAAATTAAGTGGATTTTGTCGATCTTACTTTTCCATAATTTTGTCAATTCGTGTTATCTTTAAAGGAACTGAACCAATTTTGACTGATATTCAGAGTTGACTATTCGGTAGATTAAAATATCATCCAAATGGCGAATCGCAATCTGATTAAAATACAGATCTATATTTTGTTTCGTTTTTTTTATAATTTCGATAACGAGACATTTTGCACTATAAAAAACAAAACGAAATTGGATCTGTGTTTGAATCAGAAACATAGAAAAATAGACCAATTACTGTTATGGTCACACAAGACCGATCACGTTTGCTGGGGGTGGGGTGGGAGATTTTATTGAGAATATCTTAGGGACGTGTTGATATAGTGTGCCCCTGACTCTACCCGTAAAATATGTTCATCCGTAAATCACTGGATGTGTGTGGACTGAAATGAAATGAAATGGGGTTTCAGGCGCGTTTCAGGACCCCCACCCCTACTGGCGCAGGGCATATTTCTTCTCTCCTATTTTCATGAAAATAACACCGAAAAAACTAACATGCGAAGTAGGCCTACTGCCGCCGTTCAAAATGCGATCTGCGGTAGAAAGTAGAAAATAAAAAGCAAAAGAGAAAATTCTTATCCAAAATGGACATTTTCGTGGTGCTTTTCAACCTAATACGTCCACCTTTCCAACTTTAAGTCGTAAATATTCTACTTTCAACAACAGAATTTCTACTTTCAACAACAGAATTTCTACTTTCAATAATCAACTTTTGACATTCGACTTTCAACTTCAGATTTTCTACTCAAAATTTTCTGCTTGAGATTTTCTCCATGCATATTACGGAAATAAATTTGATCACGTGACTATTTCTGCATGTCATTATGGGATCGTTTATTTTTACGGGAAAATACCGTATTTTAATGACATGCAGAAATAGTCACCTGATCAAATTTATTTCCGTCAAAAGTTGATTATTGAAAGTAGAAATTCTTTTGTTGAAAGTAGAATATTTACCACTTGAAGTTGAAAAGGTGGACGTATTAAGTTAAAAAGCACGAGCGGTATGTTTCCCACACGAAAATGTCCATTTTGGATAAGATGTTTCTCTTTTGCTTTTTATTTTCTACTTTCTACTGCAGGTCGCATTTTGAACCTGATACCCCGCCATAGAAAATGGTCTCAAAGTTTCTGATTTGATCAAATTTCGGTTTAATCTCCTCTCCACCCCTCCCTAGACTGAACAACAAACTTGACGTTGTCTCCACCTTGGACCCCCCCCCCCCCCGGATCAAATTTCCTTGGACACGTCCCTTGGTTTAACGTCCCACTTTTCTTCACCGACTCGGCTAATGAAGACGCCATACATTGTGCTATGGGGGAAATTTTGCCCAGAAAGCGACACTGCGGCCTACTTTTATAACGAATTCCAACTTTCAAATTAATCTTTAACGTGCACGCAAATGTGTACACGGAACCTCGGTTTTTCGTCCCATCCGAACGACTTGTCAGGCCCTCCGTCCTGCATCATTGACAAGTGGGAAACACGCCGATTTAACGTTAGACATTAGAATATTTAAGAACTCGATCGTTGGGCTTTTTTTTGTTGTTGTTTTGTTTTATATATAGATAAAGCCGATAATTTATAATATTTTATTTTTACAGGACGAGTTCAGGAGTCATCACGATGTTAAGTATCTGGTTGCCTGTTGCTTGTTTGGTTGCCGTGAAATTATTGAACATTGTACAGTAAATATTGGCCTACCTTATATTCAGAACTCCAGCAACATGGATACATTACGTTGCCTAGAAACGATCTGTCACGTGCCCTGTAGGCAACGCTCGTCGCACAGTTTGTGTGATGAATATAATAAGACTTCAATGTATTTCCTTCGTTATAATTATATATATTTGTTACCAGCCTTTTATTTTCAGTGTGTATAATACAGATTCATAGTTTCGACTATAAATACGAAGAACTATTACAGGATATTTAAACAAAATATCAGTTTTAATTCAGTATTTATCTGTATTTGTTAACCTATTGTTTTCAAGTCGTACTATATAATCGACTAATACGAACAGTTACTGCAGGAAATTTTAAGAAGCTATCTATTTGAATTCAGTTTTAAATATCATTTTCGTTTCTGCATATTTGAATCTGATTTAAACAAAAGTTAAATAATATTTTTAAGTCTGCATGCATATTGCAATCCATTATTTAAAATTCTCAACTTGATGTATACCTAACTTAGATATTTATTGGGAACTTTTTTATATTTAATAAATTCTTTTACCTTGCATTAAAGTCTTACCTTGAATTATTATCGGTCAATGGTAAAACCTGGTCATTCATTGTTTGCCAGATCAGCACATCGTAAACAAAACGTGGGAGAGTTCTTCGTGGTTTCGTCTTTGTATGTGGTGCAAGATGGGGAGCCTGGCAAGAGAGAGGGAGAGAGAGAGAAGAGAGAGAGAGAGAAATGGGGTTTAACGTCCACTCGACACAAACTAGGTCATTTCGGGACTAACATATTTTTATTCCAATAATTCGCTTGCGCATAGGGGTCTTTAGCAGTGGGAGGAAACCGGAGAAAACCCACGAGGTTGGACAGGCGACCCTACTCCTTGTCACATACAACCGGGGATTCGAAACCACGCCAGTCGACTCAATGACAGACTTTATGATACAGCACGCGCACGCTAACCATTCAACCACCTCCCACCACCACCACCACCCCCACAAGATAAGAGAACATGAAAGAAAAACAGAAAAAGTCCGTGCATTACCATGTATGAATATAAACACGGAAATGCGCGGACTATTTCTTTTTTTCTCGTGTTCTCCTATCTAATGACATTCAATTAATTTTTTGAATTGTCAGATATACTCTTACAGTCTCATATAACAACTTTTGGTCTTCGAAGGAATTTTTAGTGAGCAGAAATTCGCCCATGTATCTATTATCACTCCTCACTTCAGTCAGTTATATAGAGGGATAACTCGTGTTTTCCTTTTGTGTTCGTCACTTCCGATTGTTCAAGCATTGATTACGCATCTATCGTAGCAATGATCTCTGTCATAAAATAATATTTGGAACGTGTTTAACCAGTTCTATCACATATGTGATAATGACTGGCACCAATATTGTCCTTTAACGCCCAACTGTTCTGCTCCGACTGGGTTAAAGAAGACGGAAACGAAATGAAATGAGGTTTAACGTCCTACTGTTCTGCTCCTATACTGGTTCTTTTACATGCACCCAAAAATGTGTACACGTTACCACGGTTTTCGTCACATTCGAACGACGATACGTTGTGCCCTATCAGGCCCTCTGCCCTGCACCACTGACAAGGGCGATTCACGTCCGATATTCTGAAAGAACAACTAGACGGTGTTCCTTACCTAGTCGTCCTCCAGCAGTAAAAAAAGTAGCAGAACCTAGATCGGAGACGGTCCTGCACATATGACGTCATCAGGCCCGTAGCCAGCCGAGCCCCCCTCCCCCGGAAAAGAATTTGCCGAGGAAAGCTCTAAAATACCTACTGTAGTATGTACCGGATGTGCCCCTCCGCAGCCAACGAGCTGGCTACTGGCCTGGACGTCATACATGTATGTGGATTGTGGGTTACGTTATGGGTTAAGCTTGGTCCAGGGTAAGGGTTGGGTCCTAAATCATACCCTAACCTTAACCCACAATCAAAATATGACGTCATATTATGTGCTATAAATGTGCAGAACCGTCCCCGATCTAGCGTTCTCCTAAAATAGTGGACATACATAATACATGTATATACATGTAATATACTGCTGAAAAGCCATACAACATAATAAGAAGTAAAATTATACGAGGAAATAAATAAGGACAGGGAGACAGAGCGAGAAATGGGTTTCAACATCCTCTCGACACAAACTTGGGCACTTCAGGACTAACTTATGGTTCAATTTTATTTTAATAAATTGCTTGTCTTTAACGGTCTTTGGCAATGGGGGGGGGGGGGCAGGAGAACCCGGAGAGAACCCATGACGTTGGACAGGAGACCCTACTCCTTGTCATGTGCAAGCAAGTAATTCAAACCACGCCCATTGACTTAATGACATACCTTGCGATCTAAAGCGAACTTCTTAGATCCTATTGTTCTGCACCCACTGGGCGAATAAAGACGGGCGTACGTGATACAGAGAAGAATATGGGGTCACCGTCTGACATGACTTGTGGAATATATCTAACCTCGTTCTTCCGAGTTGCTTGTTAATAATTGCGCTGAAACGCATTATGGTACACGATTCGTGTACCAATCTTATGTTTATTTTGTCTTAAATATTGGATATCAGAAGCCTATCTTTTCCCGGTAAGATTACAACACCATTACACCAATGTTGATTAAAATTGACAAACAATTTGTGTTTTCATTGTCGAAGGTTTTGGATGATATTGAGTTAGAGACTTAGCCTACTTTAAATATGCACATTTCAATAAAGCCTTTTTGGGTGAAAATGTACAATATAATAATACTAGCAGAATGCCCGGCTTCGCTCGTGGGTCATAACTCCGACACCGGAAGTGGTAGACTAGCGCCACCTGGCCTATGTTATTCCCCGGTCCGAGCTATACCCCTATACCCCAAATTTCAGACTCGGGGCAGACCTAGTGTAGCCGCCAACAGACAGATAAACGACAGTCACAAATATATATATATATACTAGCAGGATACCCGGCTTCGCTCGGGGGCCATAACTCCGAAACCGGAAGTGGTAGACTAACGCCACCTGGCCTATATTACTCCCCGGTCCGAGCTATCCCTATACCCCAAATTTCAGACTCGGGGCAGACCTAGTGTAGCCGCCAACCCCGAACAGACAGACAGACAGACAGACAAACGACAGTCACAAATATTAGTATAGATAGATAGATACAAATTCAATTCACGCGGTACTTAACCTACTTGTCTCTAGTGATTATTCCCTTGTACGATTCACTGCCTGACACATGCATTTAATATCTGAATCAACTACGTCATTCCTATTCCAAATCACTTCCCGGTCTTTACACGTACAGGCGCCTGTAACATTTCAAGTACTGATAAAGAATGGACACAGATCACCAAATATTCCTACGAAACAAGGGCCAAAGCTATTTTTAGTCTTCCTCTCCCTTTTCCTTTTTCCCCCTTTGCATGGCGATTTGTGTTGACTTTTTGGTGTAGAATCGAGGAAAAGGGTTTGAAAATACATTTTCTGCCAGGTTTTGGCGAATATTCATAATTTTGATGCGGAAGGATACAAGAGTTGAGAGGTTGGTTAGGTTGAAATGTAGGGCCTGAAATTGCATATTTATTTGTCTCTACTTCCAGCTTGTGTATCTCAAGTTTTTCATTAGAACCTCATACGTGCTTTTGGGCAAGTGGTTGCCACATGTTGCTCCATCTGTGGTAGAAAGCGTTCTACCCAACGAAAATTTGGGAAAAAGTTAGAGCCGGTCTAAGATACGAGAATTAACATTGGAGTCAATGGGGAAATCTTTAGTGATCTGTATCCGAATAGGTTTAATACGAGTTATTTGCCCCTTAATCGGATTCAGACCAGTTATTTTATAACCTCCCTTGCACTTCACAGTCTAATATTGACAGAGATTTTCCACACAACAGGTGCCCGTGGGTGTTCGCTGCACTGCCGCGGGTTGAGTCACTGTGTTCACTGTATCCAAACTCCTTGCAGTGTTTCGTTAGATTATACCTTTAATCCCACTCAGATGTTTCGTGCCATTGCTTCAGGATAATAATTTTATCAATCTACGCCCTTTCAGGCGCTTATCTAACTGACGACTGCATAAGAGCCAAATTTTGGAACATGGTTGAGAGGGGGAGGGACTTTACAGCGATCTAACTTGGGGAAAGTCCCAGGATTATTGGATAAATGTGTGCAATATATGTTATGCAGCTATGAAACCAATACTAGTAGAAAGTTACATCTTATGACCTAATGTTTAAGCTAATGCCCCGCAGTGACCGGGCGCCATAATTATATTCTGTTTATCAGGGACTACAAAACAACTTGGCCGTTTGGAGAGTTTGCTATAAAAACTGCTTGAATTCTATTTTCATAATGCGATTCTTTTGTGTGGGTGGGGGGGGCAATGGTTAACGCATGTGGGTTGAATCAGAAGATCTGCCATTGAGTCAAGAGCCATGGTTTCCCCACTTGCACGTGACAAGGCGTTGGGTCGCCTGTCCAACCTCATGGGTTTTTGTCCGGGTCCTCAGGTCATAATCAATGTCATCGGATACTTGAGATTTTAACTAGATTAGAATGGTTCGGCCATTTAATGATTTAATTTAAAATAGGAAAAAAAATAGGAAAACGGGGCTAATCGTTAAACGTTTGCGCATTAGATCATAAATAAAGAAAAACACAGCTATGAACGTACCAGTAGGCTAGACACAAGTGAATGCTCAACTAGGGCTACGTGGTTTTACCAATTTTCTTAGTGTGCCGTTCAAAATTTCGCGGCACACTTAGGAAGATCTCGCGGCACTATAGTTGAGAATCACTGCACTAAAGAAAGGCCTGCAACGGGCAAATTGACATATCTTTAACTTTTTTCCTTCTGCAAATTAAATTAAAAAATAATTTCTTAAATTATTGAGAAAATATATAAATGTGATGGAAGTATACGTGGATAAAGAATATTTCCTATTTAGTTAATTAAATGGGTATATAAAATAGTACGCGAAGGGGTAAATTACTAAAATGAGTAAAAGGTACTAGTTTACGTTTACGTCCTATATGTAACCAGTGCACGCGCTATGGACGCCGTGTGATGTGACGTCACGCGTAGAACTATAATGCATGCGAACTGCGGATTTATAAACGTCAGTCATCTTACGCAGAGTTAGAAGAAGAAGAAGAAGAAGAAGAAGGCTTTCGCACTAGCCTACCTCATGGCTACATGTTTCTCATTTGAATGTCTGTCACTTTGTAAACAAACGATCTGAACTTAGCATTTTTATTCAACAATTTGATATTTTTGGAATATCAGAATCTCATTTACATAACTTAGATGTTAATACTTCTGATTTAGCTATATCTGGATTTAGTTTACCTTATAGAAAAGATGAATGTAACTCAAGTCATTCCGGAACTTTAGTATATATTAAAAATCGCCTCTCAACTAAAAGAAGGGATGATTTAGAAAACTGTAATATTGAAGCTATTTGGTTTGAAGTACATTTTACTAATTCTAAACCACTATTATTGTGTAATTTATACCGAAATCCTTCTTCCACTAGACAATGGCTAGATTCCTT